TTCAGAAAAATATTTTTCAAAAATTTATTTTCAAATTCACCACCATGATCACTTCTGACTTTTATAATTTTGAAATTCTTTTCATTCTGGACTTGCTTGCAGAAGTCAAAGAACACAAAATTTGACTCATCCTTGTGTTTTAAGAACTTTACCCATGTCCATCTACTAAAGTCATCAATAATGACTAATCCATACTTCTTGCCTCTGATGGATGCAGTTTTCACTGGTCCAAACAGATCAATATGAAGTAATTCTAGTGGTTTAGAAGTAGAAACAACATTTTTTGATTTGAAAGATGTTTTTGAAAACTTCCCTTTCTGGCATGCTTCACAAAGAGCATCTGAAGTGAACTTCAGATTAGGGAGTCCTCTGACAAGATTAAGTTTATTAATCTGAGATATACGTCTCATATTAATATGACCCAATCTTCTGTGCCAGACCCATTGCTCTTCATTTACAGACAAGAGGCATTTAACATTTTGAACTTTAAGTTCAGAAAGATTTATTTTATAAATGTTGTTTTTCCTCTTATCACTAAATAGGATAGAGTCATCCTTTTGACTAATAGCTTTACAACATTTTTGATTAAAGGTAATATCATAACCATTGTCACTTAATTGACTTATGGACAATAAGTTATGCTTTAACCCTTCAACAAGTAAAACATTAGTAATAGAGGGAAGTTTACCATTTCCAATAGTGCCAGATCCAATGATCTTGCCCTTCTGGTTCCCTCCAAACTTCACGTCACCTCCAGATCTAAGTTTCAGGCTTTGGAACATAGACTTTTCTCCTGTCATGTGTCGTGAGCATCCAGAGTCCAGGTACCATGATTGGTGTCCTGACCTTGCTGCTAAGAACATCTGCAACATGAATTATTTTGTTTTTAGGTACCCAGATCTTCTTGGGTACTTTGGGGTTAGTTGTTTTGTAGGTTTGTCTAAAATTCTGTTTTTCAACATAATGTTTATTCTGACTTGCCTTGGGTTTAAACACATAAGTATTCTTCTCAGAGCTTGTGTGTTTAATGTCATTTAAGTGACCAAATTTAAATTGAGAATACAGAGGTGTATTCTTGATGAAAAGTTTGTCAACAGGTTTTGGATTGCTTCCAGATGAAGATTCATATCCAATACCTCTTCTGTTGTTTCCACTAACACCATAGATTATGGAAGCCATCTTGCTTCTGTCTATGCTCTTAGTAAGAAATCTCTGAAAGCTAGAGTCATATTTTTCTAAAATGTTTTCACATGACTTAGTCTCAAATTCAGATTCTTGTTGAGTTATTTCAAAGTCATTTTTGATTTTCAGATTAATTTCTTTTTGCTCAACAAGTTCTGTCTTCAGAAGATCAATCTCAGATTCAAGATTGTTTTTCAGCTTCTTGTATTTGAGTTTGATATTGTTATAACTTTTAAGAACTTCTGTTAAAACTTTTATGAGTTTTTCTTTGGTAAGTTTAGCCATTACCTCTTCTGCGTCATCATCAGATTCAGAATCTGATTCATATCCTGAGGTACCTTCCTCTTGATCCTCTGTGCTAGCCATCAGTGCAACATTGGCACATTCTTCTTCTGATTCAGAAGATGATTCAGATTCATCTGAGTCATCCCATGTTGCCATCAGAACCTTCTTCTTTTTGTTAAACTTCTTCTTGGGTTTTTCTTTCTGAAGTCTGGGGCAATCATTCTTGTAGTGCCCAGGTTCTTTGCACTCATAGCACACAACTTCTTTCTTGGGAGATCTTCTGTGTCCAGAAGATTCCTTTCTATTATCAGATCTTCTGAAGTTGTTGAACTTCTTTCCCTTGTACTTCCAGAGTCTGTTGATCCTTCTGGACAGCATGGATAACTCATCTTCTTCTTCAGAAGAAGATTCTTCAGAGCTTTCTTGAATGACCTGCAAAGCTTTAGCAGTTTTGTTAGATTTTAATGCAACATATTTACCTTTTTCTTTCTTCTGAGGTTCATCTTCCTCAAGCTCAATCTCATGGCTCCTCAGTGAGCTGATGAGTTCTTCTAGAGAGATCTTGTTCAGATCTTTAGCCATCTTCAAGGCAGTCACCATTTGTCTCCATCTGGTAGGCAGACTTCTGAGGATTTTCTTTACGTGATCTGATGTAGAGTATCCCTTGTCCAGAACTTTCATCCCAGCAGTGAGTATCTGAAATCTGGAGAACATGACTTCAATAGATTCAGAGTCTTCCATTTTGAAGGCCTCATACTTCTGGATCAGAGCCAGAGCTTTTGTCTCCTTAACTTGAGAATTTCCCTCATGAGTCATTTTTAGGGATTCAAACATATCAAAAGCAGTTTCCCTGTTTGTAATTTTCTCATACTCTGTATGTGAAATTGCATTCAATAATATAGTCCTGGCTTTGTGGTGATTTCTGAAATCTTTCTTCTGAGCATCTGTCATAGATTTTCTGTCAATCTTCTTGCCATTCCCATCTGTGGGATGGGCATATCCATCTATGACTAGATCTCATAGATCAGCATCATATCCTAGGAAAAAACTCTCAATTCTGTCTTTCTAGTAGTCAAATTTCTCCCCATCAAACATTGGGGGTTTGGTGCTGATCCTATCCCTTTCTTCATATTTATTGTTAATATTGGACATTGAATTATCAGCCATGGTAACAAATAAATATATATCAAAGTATTTCTCTCTGGATCTTTACTGACACTGTTAAGTGGTAGCACACACAGAACCGGAGCTCTGATGCCAACTGAAGGTGAGATAATACTTAGAAGGGGGGTTGAATAAGTATGAAAGATTAAGACTTAAAAAATAATCACACAATTATTTTTATCCTGGTTCGTTTAAACAACTACTCCAGTCCACCATTCCTAGAGTAATTTGCCTTTCTCAACAAGGACTTAATCCACTATTTAATCAAACTGATTACAATAGTAACACCTAAGAACAACTGTTCTTAGTCTTCTCAAGAGCTACTGATTCCAACTGAATCCTCTTAAGGAAAAACCTTTACAATCAATGTAAATCAAATACAAGAGTATTAATGCTTCTATAAAACTTTTATCACAACAATGATTTTTCTCTTAAGTTTAAGTATAAGAAATTCTAAGAAGAATATGAAAGAATGAGAGCTTAGAATAGTATGATTTCTTTTCAGCAAATTGTGTAACTGAAGAATGTTGTGGAGTCTTCCTTTTATAGGCAGCTGATCCAAGGATGCTGAGCGTTGAAAAGAGAGTCCCAAAAAGGTCTGAGCCTTTTTGTCTTCACATCAAGTGACCTTTCCTTGAAGTAGATAACACAGAAAAATCCTTTTTGTCTGTGTAATTGTGTCTAGCACAAATGAGGAAAGAGACGTTGATTTACTCCAACGGATATATTCTTGAATATTTCTTCTTCAGTTTTCAGCAAGTTCTTCAGAGTCTGAATGGATCAGAGTCTTCTAATGATGTTCAGAACTTTGCTGTATTAGAGTCTTCTGCAGCATGTGTGCTTTCAGCGTGTTGATCATCAGAGCATATTTGACACAGAACTTCAGTACTTGACAGCGTTAGTACTTTCAGAAACTTATGTAGAATTATGCTTTGAGAAACTCTTCAAACAATATTCTTCTTTGCTTCAGATGCTTCAACTTCAGATGCTTCTGACTAGCTTCAGATGCTTCTGACTATCTTCAGATGCTTCTGCTTCAGATGCTTCTGATGAGTGCATCTGGCGCTTCAGAGTCAGGATAACTTCTTGTATACAATACAGATTTGCTTCTAGAGAGTTAATTTCATTTCAATCTGCAGTAAAACTCTCAAATAAATTTTAGAGTATATAATTCTTAAATATAAAATTTCCTAACAGTTATCATCAAAACAAAGAGTTATTATTAAGAACCAATCTGTGTTCTAACACGCATATCTGATCTTTATCGCATATGTGTAAAGGAATTTCTGAAATCTCTTCTCGTGTACCAAATTTTTGAGTTGTTGAAAAACATCAGACGTATCTACGCATATCTGATCTTTATCGCATATTTGTAAAGGAATTTCTGAAATAATTACATAAAAAAATTTCAAAAATTCAAAAAAATAAAAAAATTGGACAATTCAAACCGGAAGACTTGTAGCAAGAGTTCCGGTAGCCAAGAAAACAAACCGGAAGACTTGTGAAAAGTCTTCCGGTTTGTTTTTTTGGCTACCAGAACTCTTGCTACAAGTCTTCCGATGAACACCCACGAAAATACCAAACCGGAAGTCTTTCCTGAAGTCTTCCGGTACAATATTTTTGTGAACCAGAACTCTTTGTCCAAATCTTCCGGTTTGAGAAAAAAAGCCTACCAGAAAGTCATTTTCAAAGTGTTCCGACAGATCGTGGGATGAATTTCTCGGAAGTCTAAAAAATCTAAAAAGTGAAAAAAATAATAAAATATTAAAATATATAAGGATAAAATGAGTATTTTTTAAAAAATGTAGGAATATGAGTATATGAACAGGGATATAGGATATAATTTCCCAATTGAGGACTCCATCTACTTTGGCCCAACTCACCACATCAATTGGCGACAACACTGTAAAACCTAACTATTTTAAAATTACTTTTCAAAATAACATTGCTATACTAAAAAAAAATTCGCACATTTCAACTCAAAGTATGCTATTGAACTTTTGCCATCCACTTTGCGAAGCTAACTATATGATTACTATTTTTATATATAATACAAATTATTGAATTGTTTTAATTTTTTATTATAAAGATAGCACATGCATAACAATATGTATAATTTAGATTAAGTCTACAAATTTCATCTTTTATTTCAATAATTTATTTTATTTTCAACAAACCAGAAAAGAAAAATAGAGAGAGAGTGGGAAGTTTGCGAGTCTTCCGAGGCAAGGTGTAATAGACAGCGAAAAATAGGGTTCGCTCTCACTCACTTTCACACTTGACAGTTCATAGTTCACTACTCCCGCGAATTCGGTACTTAGGGTTTTCAATTCCCGCGAATTCTCTCTCTCTCTCTCTCTGACTGTGATATGGCGATGGAGGATGAAAAAGCCCGCGGAGGAACCCCGATAAGCAACGGCAATTCTCCTAATAAGCAACAAACTCCACCGTCAATTTTGGGAGCTAAAGATCGCATTGTATCTGTTGCCTCCAATTTCGCTTCTCAACCTCTTCACAATTCCGATCCCAACGTTTGGGGTGTTCTCACTGCCATCTCCAACAATGCCCGTAAAAGGCATCAGGTAACTTCCATTTCCCTCAATTTCCCATTGCATTACTTCTTTTCCCTTTTTATCACTATTTCCTTACAAATCTTACAACTCTCAGTCAATTGAAGTCGAAATTAGGTTACTTTCAGTTCTGCATGAGTAGGAAAATATGCATTTTAGGTTCAATTTATGTTAATCGCATTAGTGTTATTTCACTCTCAGTAAATGGCACACCAATGTTCAATATTGTTAATTTATTAACCAGAAAATGTTTCACGGACTCCCATTTTTCTTACACAATTGTGATTAATTCAACTGAATATATGGTTAATTTAGTTTGATGTTGAAAGTTGTGAAATTATTGTCAATGGTGTAGTTGAATTGACCATAATTTTGAGGGTGAATTGAATTCCATTTGCTGAACTGAATTATCCACATCTTTTGCACCTTATTAACCAAGTTCCAAGTTCCGCATGTAGGAAAAATTGATGTTTGAATGTCATTACAGTTTATTAAATTCTAAGGGTCGTTGATAACTTTGTTTACACTTTTATTTAAGAAACTGCCATTTTGTTTACAATTTATTTTCTGTTTTCAATTATTAGTACCAGAAACAGAATGAAAACAAGATGATACTTTTGTAATTAAATATGGAAAACATGTAATGAAAGCAGGAAGTATTTTTTTACACAGTAAATTGTTTTGTATTTGTGTTGTATGCATTTATGGAGTTCTATGGAAGAAAGTTATGTTAGAGTTTACTTGTCCTAGTTGTTTTTGCTATATGCGGCTAATGAGGGTCTTTATTTTATTTTATATTTTTTGGTTTAATGGCTCATTGTCTTTTCAATTTTCATATGATTTAATTATTGTAACCAGGGAATCAATATCTTATTAACTGCTGATGAGCACTGCTTTGGACGGATGGTAGAAAATGTGCGTTTCCAGATTGATTCAAATAATGTTAGTGCAAATCATTGCAGAATATACAGGACCAAGGTTACTAATGAAAATATGGAGAATACCACTTCAATATTCTTGAAAGATACGAGGTTGTGGCTTTGTTATTGAGCTTTGCTTTCCCTACTTTTCCTCTTACATAAGAGAGGATGAAAAGAGCTTTTTTTTTAATCTCCTTATATTCTAACTTTTGTAAAGCCTTGTTCAGCACAAATGGTACTTACCTTAACTGGGAGAAGTTGAAAAAGAATAGTGCTGCTGTCAAAGTCTGCCATGGTGATATTATATCACTTGCTGCTCCTCCTCAGAATGGTAATATTCTGATAGCTTTTATTTATTTTATTCCTATTAGTATTCGACCTTTTCTCACATTAGCTGTAGAATTTGTAGATTTTTCTATTTTACTTGTCAGTGACGTAGTTCAGATCACTAATTCCCCACTCCATATATGTGCTCATTTAACTTCCTTTAACTGCAAAAAGCATTACATGTATGAAAAAAATTATTAAGATCTTTGATGTTTTACTTTTTGAACTTTTTTACTAATGCATAGATAGAATATCCTAAAAATTAGATTAATGATAACTTTTTATTATATCTACAAGGACTCAAGTTAACTTTAAAATATTCATGCTCTCGACTTAAGATATGTGTTTTAAAATTCATATATACACATTTGATGAGTTACTTTCAAGCCGCGTGTCTTATATTTTTTAAACTTTGCCATACTTTTTTCGTATCATATCTGTGCCCATTATAGATTTTGGCTACCATTTTGTTGCAAATTGGCATCGAAAAAGTTAACATTCTTGTATTTATTCATCTATTCTCTTTTTTCATAATTTCATTGTTATTTGTAAGAATGAACAAAACATTGTTCTCTATATTCAATTTTATTTGGCTTTTATCATACTTCAATTTTTGGTTTATTTAATTTTGCATCTGCATGTTATTTGTTTTCTAAAATTGGACAGGTACTGTATTTTTTAAGTAAACTGCTGATGAATTGCTCGTCGAGTATTTGTTCCCTTCTGTGCATAATATATTTTCAAGCAGTATGGTTACATGTTTTTTTCTCCAAATTATCTGTCTTTTTTGCAGAAGTTGCATTTGCTTTTGTATATCGAGAGGTGCATCTTTCAAATCCAGTGCCAGACAATGCAGTTGCTAAACGAAAAGCAGGTATATGTTATGTTGAAGAGCATAAGTAAGTATTAAAAATAAATAAATAACCATCCTTGCATTTGAATTAAAATAAAATCATCCCTTCATTTTACTCTGGTGTATACTTGTAAGTCAAATTCAAGCTTCCAATGCACTGGGCAGCTAATTTTGCAATTTATGTCATATACTGATTATTACAATTCTTCTGTCGGAAGAATAGTGAAGAGAACATAAAAACAGTGACAAAAGTTAAAATTAAATGTTATTCTCATTGAGTAATGTATACTCTGATACAACTGTTAGCTATTTATAGATAGCTTAGGAAACTTTGGAGTACAAACTTCAAATAATCAACAGTTACTGAACTATAACAGAATAACTACCCGGCACCTTAACTAACTTAACAAAATTAGTTAAGTGTTACAGCTTACGCAAGCGTATCTCTGATATTGATAATCATGGTGTACTGTATATTTATACTTATATTGATACTAATATTTGATTTTATTTCATTTTATTATGGTTTTTCCTCATTGCTTTTTTTTTTTTTTTTTCTTTCTTGAATGTGTAGAGGATTTTGTGTCTGAAAACAAGAGATTGAAAGGTTTGGGCATTGGTGCTCCTGAGGGTCCTATATCTCTTGATGATTTTCGAAGCCTTCAAAGATCTAACTCGGTGTGTTGACTAGAAGGATTGCAGTATTAATTAGTATTTTTAAATATGTTTTTCCTCTAATTATATTCAGTTATCTCGCGTCTTTTGACAGGAATTGAGAAAGCAATTGGAGAGTCAGGTGGTTATAATTGATACATTGCGGAGCGACAACCGCGCAGCTGTAGAGCATCATGAAAGTGTATGTAATCATTTGAATTTACAGGATCTGCACCCAACGTCACTTGAGTCTCTGCCAAAAAAATTCAAACTTAAATACTTCACATACAGCATCGTTTCATTTTTTGAACCCCCCTTTCTTATTAAGTACTAATTAATGGTATTCATGATACATCGGCTCTCACAAGAAAGGGAACACATGATCTTTATCAACTATCTGTGCATTCTAAAAAATATATTTAATATTCATTTCATCTTTAAGTACTCAAAAATGTTATATGCAATGTTTTAACTAAGTTATGATCCAATATGTAGGAATTGAAATCTGCCAAAGAATCTGTCACAAAATGTTTCCTTGATCAAATAGAAGGTTTACAGCAAACTGTGGATCTCAAACAAAAGGAACTAGGAGATGTCAACAAGGCGTTCGCGGAACAAAAACATGCTCTTGAAGACCTTAATGAAAGACTTAGTTCTTCTATGCAGTCATGTGCTGAATCAAATGAACTTATAAGTAGGTATGGTTTATATAATTATTATGGCTTAACTCCTCACCTTTTCAATACTTGATATTGTTTTTTTTATTAGATTTATCATTGATTTAGGTATGTATAGATAACTTGTCCCAAGCTTGAATAAAATAGAGGGTTGTGTTATGCAGTTGACAACCAACATAAAATTTCGTCAAATCTCTATGACATAGATCAATTGCATAATAATGTGAATGGCAGTTGTTGTCCGAAAGCAACATACTGGATGACTAGAGTACAATATCAAAAGAGCAAGAGGCACTGCATCGCCGCCTAGATGCAGTGAAAAATAAAGGTTCCACATTATCATGAACGGGTTTGGGTAAAGAAGTTAGTTCATAGTAAAATTTGTTTTGGAGTTTGGAGTGTACACTCATTGGAAATTCTATGAAATAGTGGATGCCATAGTTAGGAGGAGGGTCAATTTCATATGCCTATAAAAAACTAAGTGGACGGGTGAAAAGGGGAAAGAATTAGACAACTTGAGTTTTAAGTTTTGGTACAGTGCCGACAAAATTAGATTGAGAAATGTGGTGGGAGTTATCGTAGACAAGGAGTGGAAGAAGGATATCGTGGATGTGACAAGAATAAGAGATTGAATCATATCCTTAAATGTGTAATAAAATTTTGAGGATTTAAAAGGCTTATTTTATGACATACTCTAAGGAGATAAGATTTTTCTAGGAGGGGATCTAAATGGGCATGTAGGGAGCGTAGCAAGAGGTTTTGAGGGTGTGTATGGAGGGTATGGTCTCACGAAGGTAAATGTGGAGGGGGTAAATTCATCTTCGAGTTTTCCTGACTTTTGATCTTACTATAGTTAATAACTTGCTTTAGGAAAAGATTTGAGCATCTTATTACATATAAGAGTGTGCTGACATGTTCTTAGATAGATTTCTTTCTTATTAGTAAGTCAGATAGGAAGATCTGCTTGAACTGTAAAGTTATACCGAGAGAGAGTTTGGCTACCTAACATAGAGTTTTGGCTATGGATGTAAGAGTTGAAAGGAGAGCAAAAAGAATAAATAACATCGGAGCTCCATAGATCAAGTGGCGGCATTTGGAGGGTGGAAGACAAGTGAATTTCCAACACAAGATCTTGGATGGAGGGTTCAAACAACCACAAGAAAGTGCAAATGACATGTGGAATAAAATGAACTAAGAGATTAGAAAAGTAGCTAAAGAGACGTTGAGAGAATCAAGAGGTTTTTGGACCCAGGGGTTAAAAATTGTGGTGGTGGAGTGAAAATGTTTGGAGTAAAGTTAGAGTAAACAAGAAATGTTCTAAAGAATAACCTAGGTGTAAAAATGCCGAAAGTTGGGAAAAGTATCATAAAGCTAAGAAAAAGACCAAAATGACGGTGAGTGAAGAAAGAACTGAAGCTTTTGATGGTTTATACCAATTTTTTTGGAACCATAAAAGGAGAAAAATCTATATATAAACTTGCTAAGGGAGGAAAAAGAAAGATAAGAGATTTGGATAAAGTGATGTGTGTTACACATGAAGAAGGCCAAATCTTAGTTTAGGAAAATGATATATAGGATAGGCGGAAAACGTATTTTTACAATTTATTTAATGAAAGATATGAGATCTCATCGGACTCTTAATAGACTCGACATTAGAGAACAGGATCGAAACTATAATTTCTACCGTCGGATTCAAAAATAAGAAGTTAAAGAAGTGTTGAGAAAGATGAGTAACATTAAGGTGGTTGGGCTAGACAACATACCTATTAAAGTGTGAAAAATTCTTGGAGATCAAGACATTGAGTGACTCACCAAACTCTAAATAAATTATGAGGTCAAAGTAAATGTCGAATGAATAGGGAAGAAACACGTAAGTTCCAATCTATAATAACAAGATGGATATACAAAATTGTGCAAATTATAGGGGGATTAAATTTATGAGTCATACTATAAAGTTGTGGGAAAAAGTGTTTGAACAGATATTAAGAAAAGAGACTCAAGTCATTGAAAATCAATTTGGTTTCATGTCTGGGAGGTCGACCATGGAAGTGATCTGTCTACTATGGCGTGTGATGGTGTCTACTATGGCGTGTGATGGAACAGTATCAGATGAACCAACAAGACTTTAACTTAACTTTCATTGACTTGAAGGTGTATGATAGAGTGCCTAAAGAGTTTTTATGGAAAGTCCTAGAAAAGAAAGGAATTAGGATTGTCCATATTCGAGCTATTCAAGATATGCATGAAGGAGTATTGACTGTTGACTAAGTAACTTCAAACACAAGAGATCCAAACACAAGAGAGGAGAGGGGTTGGGTTGAATTGTGATATTCTAATTCCAAAATCCGGTTTATAAAACACTTTGATTAAAAATAATTTATGTTAGAAAGCGGAGATGAAACAACAAAACTGTTGAATATTAGCACAAAATCAAAACAGATTCTGTCATACAGCTCATTATGGCTGGATTCAAATTGTGATTAAATAGAAATTAATTGTATTATTATATTCTTACCTTATTTAGGATTAGCATTTATAGGGAGAATAATTACCCCTATTTCTTAGTGTAATTTATATTCTATAAATACTCATGTACTATGTTACAGAATAAATAATATAGAAAAAGCATATTTCTATATGGTATCAGTAGCAACAAGAATCCTTTAGGGTTTTTTTTTTGTTTTTGCTTCCGCTCTGTTTATCTTTTTTACATCCCACAATGTCTGATACCGAGTCCTCACTTTCACCCAAACATTCCTCACCCGAACCTAAATTAGTCCGAACGTACCATGAAAACCACCCTGTTCAGATCACAACAATTCGGCTGAACGGTGCTAATTATCTTCGATGGTCGCAATCCGTTCGTATGTATCTCAGGGGGAGAGGAAAGATTGGCTACATTACTGGTGACAAAAAACAACCAGACAAGGCAGGTGCAGATTATGATACATGGGATGCTGAAAACTCCATGGTCATGACATGGTTAGTCAACTCCATGGATGAAGAGATAGGTGCAAATTATCTCTGTTATGATACTGCAAAAGAACTTTGGGAAGGTGTCTCCCAAATGTACTCTGATTTGGAAAATCAATCCCAAATCTACGAATTAACTCTCAAATTGGGAGAAATTCGGCAAGGTGAAGATTCAGTCACCAAATACTTCAATTGTCTCAAACGTATTTGGCAAGATTTGGACCTTTTCAATGAGTATGAGTGGAAATCACCTGCCGATAGCAAACATTACAAGAAGATGGTGGATGTTAGTCGTGTTTTCAAGTTCCTTGCGGGTCTAAATGTTGATTTTGATGAGGTTCGTGGCCGAATTCTAGGCAGAAATCCTATCCCTCCAATTGGTGAAGTCTTTTCAGAAGTACGTCGCGAAGAGAGTCGTCGGCAAGTGATGCTTGGAAAAAATACAGCAGCTGTCCCTCCACCAGTTGAAGGATCTGCCTTGGCAATTCCCCATGTCAATCGTAAACCACTTCATAATCAACGAGGTGGAGACAAGACTCATTTATTTTGCGATTACTGTGGGCGCAATCGCCACACTCGGGAAACTTGCTACAAACTACATGGGCGACCAAATCATGGCAAGGCTGGTAAGTTTGGTGATCGTCCTATGCCTATGGCCAATGAGGCTGATTCGTCTCCATGTACGAAGGAGCAAATGGATAACCTTCTTAAGTTTCTAAAGTCCAATTCATCTCTTAATATCCCTACTGGAACTGTGGCACAAACAGGTAAGGATTCTTGGGCACTATCTGCTCACAACCACTCTAACCCTTGGATAATAGATTCAGGGGCATCTGAACACATGACTAATTGCTCTCATCTATTCAGTACCTATTTTCCTAGTTCAGGTTTTGAAAAAGTTAGGATAGCTGATGGTAGTTATTCAAGTATTGCAGGCAAAGGCAGCATAAAAATTTCAGAGCAAATCACTTTGCAATCTGTTTTACATGTTCCTAAATTCGCTTGTAATCTTCTATCTGTTCATAAATTGTCTAAGGACACTAATTGTTCTGTTCTTTTTCGTCCCTCTACTTGTGTTTTTCAGGACCAGAACTCGGGGAAGACGATTGGAACTGCTAGAGAGATGAATGGATTGTACTACCTTGATGGAATTCAGTTTGGCAATAAAGCGTTTTTCGGTTCAAACAGTACAAACGCATCTCCTGTTTCAGATCAAATTATGTTATGGCATAAAAGATTAGGTCACCCTAGTTTTTCATATCTTAAGCATTTGTTTCCTATTTTTTCCAAAGAAATAAATTCCTCACAATTTCATTGTGAAGCTTGTCACTTAGCTAAAGATCATCGTGTGTCTTTTAAATCAAAAGCCTATTCTGCTTCTAAACCTTTTTATTTAATTCACAGTGATGTTTGGGGTCCTTCAAAAATTAAAACTATGTCTGGAAAAAAATGGTTTGTAACATTTATTGATGATCATACACGGCTGTGTTGGGTTTATCTCATGGAGAAAAAATCAGAAGTTGAACAAAGATTTCAAGATTTTTTTAACATGATTAACAATCAATTTCAAACTAAGATTGGCATTCTAAGGTCTGACAATGGCACTGAATATTTCAACAAATATTTAAGTACATTCCTTGTAACTAAGGGGATAATTCATCAATCCACTTGTCGCGATACTCCGCAGCAAAATGGTATTGCTGAAAGAAAAAATAGACATCTCCTCGAAGTCACTAGAGCTATTATGTTTTCTATGAATGTACCTAAGTATCTTTGGGGAAATGCTTTATTAACTGCTTGTCACCTCATCAATCGAATGCCATCTCGGGTGTTACAATATGAAAGTCCTGGACAAGTGTTACAAAACAATTTTCCTACATCTCGTATTATTACGGATCTTCCCCTTAAAATTTTTGGTTGTCTTTGTTATGTTTACATCCCCAATGTTTTTCGTTCTAAGTTGGATCCTAAAGCCGAAAAATGTGTTTTTCTTGGCTATGCTTCCAATAAAAAGGGATACAAATGTTTTAACCCAGTTACAAAGAAATTTTTTGAAAGCATGGATGTTCACTTTGTTGAAAATCAACCTTTTTTTAAAAATTCTCTTCAGGGGGAGAGTCAATGTAATAATAAAGAAGATAATTTTTGGGAAACTTTGCCTGCTCTAGATGATATTGTGACTACAAATCACCCAAATGCTAAGATAATAGAATCTGAAACAGGGGGAGAAACACTGATTAAGGATGATAATCCTGAACTTAAAGTGTATGTTCGAAAAAAATTCCACAAAGGTGGTGCAAACCCTATTGTCTCTCCAGTAGAAATCCAATCTGATTTACCAAGTGAAGGTCCTACAGATAATCTGTCTTCTAGTTCTTCATCTGGTAATCCTTCTTACTCATCCAATGATTTATCTGATTTGTCTTTTCCTGATATTAATCTTCCAATTTCTGTGAGAAAAAATATTCCTGACCTCGATGTCCCAATTGCTGAGAGGAAAGGTTCTCGTATGTGCACTAAACATCCTATGTCTAATTACTTGTCATATGACAAACTATCACACACCCATAAGGCATATGTGTCTAGGATTTCTAATTTGTTTGTGCCCAGAACTATTCAGGAAGCATTAAGTGATCCGAATTGGAAATTAGCAGTGAAAGAAGAGATGGATGCTCTAAACAAAAATAACACTTGGAGTATCACTGATCTACCACAAGATAAAAAGGCAGTAGGGTGTAAGTGGGTCTTTACAGTGAAATGCAAGGCTGATGGAAGTGTGGAAAGATACAAAGCGAGATTAGTAGCAAAAGGATTTACTCAAACTCATGGTATTGATTACCAAGAGACTTTTGCCCCAGTTGCTAAGATCGATTCTATCAGAATTCTTCTTTCTCTTGCAGTAAATTTCAACTGGACACTATATCAATATGATGTTAAAAATGCCTTCTTGAATGGTGAATTACATGAAGAAGTATATATGAGTTTACCTCCTGGATTTGAAAAAAATCTTGGAAGAAACAAAGTATGCAGATTGAGAAAATCCCTATATGGATTGAAACAATCGCCAAGGGCCTGGTTTGAGAGATTTGGAAGTGTTGTTAAGAGACACGGTTTCACCCAAAGTCAAGCAGATCACACTATGTTCTTTAAACACTCATCTGAAGGTAAGATTGCTATCTTAATAGTGTATGTTGATGACATTATTATTACAGGAGATGACGTCAAAGCAATTAGTGATCTGAAGAGAAGACTTGAGGCTGAGTTCGATATCAAGGATCTTGGAAAGTTAAAATACTTTCTTGGGATGGAGTTCGCAAGATCTAAAGAAGGTATTTTTCTCAACCAGCGCAAGTACATACTCGATTTACTTGCAGAAACAGGGATGACAGGGTCTAAAGCAGTAGAAACACCAATGGATCCCAATGTGAAACTAAAGTCAGTTGCTGAAGATGAAATAGTAGATAAAGAACGTTATCAACGATTGGCTGGAAGACTAATTTATTTGTCACATACAAGGCCAGATATAGCCTTTGCAGTGAGTGTAATAAGCCAATTTATGCATGCACCAGGTGCAGCCCACTTTGAAGCTATTTTCAGAATATTAAGATATTTGAAAGGTACTCCGGGAAAGGGGCTGATATTCAGAAATAGAGGACATATACAGGTTGAAGCCTATACAGATGCTGATTGGGCAGGTAATATAAATGATAGAAGGTCTACCTCAGGATATTGTACTTTTGTAGGTGGAAATCTAGTTACATGGAGGAGCAAAAAACAAAATGTTGTAGCCAGGAGCAGTGCAGAAGCTGAATTCCGATCTGTGGCCCATGGTTTTTGTGAAGTATTATGGATCAAAAAGTTCATGGAAGAATTGAAGTTCTTTGGCCCAACTCCAATTAAAGTTTACTGCGATAATAAGGCTGCTATTTCTATTGCCCATAATCCTGTCCTACATGACAGGACGAAGCATGTTGAAGTGGACAAGCATTTCATCAAAGAAAAAATTGACAGCGGTGAGATTTGTATGTCCTACATACCTACCAAAAGTCAAGTAGCAGATGTTCTCACAAAGAGTCTTCCAAAGAGACTGTTTGATAACATGGTGTGCAAGCTTGCTATGAACGATATATTCATGCCAGCTTGAGGGGGAGTGTTGAATATTAGCACAAAATCAAAACAGATTCTGTCATACAGCTCATTATGGCTGGATTCAAATTGTGATTAAATAGAAATTAATTGTATTATTATATTCTTACCTTATTTAGGATTAGCATTTATAGGGAGAATAATTACCCCTATTTCTTAGTGTAATTTATATTCTATAAATACTCATGTACTATGTTACAGAATAAATAATATAGAAAAAGCATATTTCTATAAAAACAATATAAATAAGAAGAAACAGAGAAATAAACAGCAGAATGTAAATAATAGAATATAAAAGAAGGGATATATAAATCACACTAGAGATTTATCTTGGTTCGACCTAAACCACTTGGCTTACTCCAGTTCCCATGAATTTTTCCTTGAGATTTCCATTAAAATAACCTTGAGCTTATTCACCAAAATGCCCTTCATTATTCTTAATTGAATTCCAATTAAGCCCTCTTTCTTACTAGTTAATTTCCACTATGTCCCTTGTTCTTATTAGTTAATCTCCAATTTATCCCTAATTCCTCATATTTGAATACAAGATTGATTGCTACATTCTCTATTACCCATATTAATTAAAGAATGAGGAATGTGGGGGTGTTACAGTTATGCTGATGTGGCAGAAACCTATTTAGCACGTATGCAAATACAGTACACACCTCTAACTAACCGAGCTTGCACACCACACATTGGCTGCTAGACTAGGACAATATCAATGATATAATAGTATATTCACACAGATGGTAACTCCAGTGGTAAGTTATTTGCGTGCCCACATGTCTCTGTTTGCTCAGCTATAGGTGCATTTATGTTGGACTGATTGTCTGCAGTACAAGTGACATATGTGGGTAAAGTTGGGATTAGTTTCACTCATCTTTCTATGTCAAAGTTGTGAAACACTTAGTTTTGTCATTCTTTGTACTATATGATATGATCATTGGAGGATATACCCTTTTGGTTGAATGTTCTCTCTTTATTTATTTCAGATGGATGATTCTAAATGTAGTAATAATTATGTTTCAAACTATAGCAACTAATTGTGTCTCTCTCCTGCTTGCAGTCAAAAGGCAAATATAGTTGAGCTTAAAGAACAATTAGATGAAGAGCGGATTCAGAGAAAAGAAGAACGTGAAAAGGCTGCAGCTGATCTAAAAGCAGCTGTTCATAGAGCGCAGTCTGAGGCTCAAGAGGAAATAAAACGGCTCTCAGATGCTGCCTTAAGAAGAGAAAGTGAACTGCAAGAAGCAATAAATAAGCTAAAGGTTTGAAAGTTCTAATGCTAAATTAGTAAGAATCTGTTTGCTTCCTGATAAGAGCTTACAAGCTGTCTTTCTTATTATGTCTCTTAGGAGTCGGAGAGAGAAATGTGCTCGCTGGTTGAAACCTTGAGGTCCAAGCTGGTATGGTTCTGATTTTGCTCCTGTTAGCCTAAGGCAGGCCAAAAATTTTATGTACTTCATACAGTGATTTTCCCCCTCATTCCTCTTTTGTTGTAGGAGGATACTAGGGAAAAGTTGGTTTTCTCTGATAATAAGGTTCGCCAGTTGGAAACCCAATTACATCAAGAGAAACAGACCACTGAAAATGGAATGAAGGTAATCTGGCAATTTTGTATTGAATATCATGTTGCTTTATCATATTTTAGTTGGTATTTAACTGAAATTTAATAATATTTCTTGGAGCAGAGAATAGAAGAACTTGAACAAGAAACAAGAAGATTAAGGAAAGAGCTTGAGAGTGAAAAGGTAGTTATGAGAAGTTTATATTTCATTGAACACAAAATGTTTTGATACTAAGGTAATTTTATAGAAATTATGTGTTGTTACACCCAGGTTTCTTGCTATGTTATTTCCTTGAGATAGCAGCAGAAGTTGTTGAAACAAATGTAATGATTTTAACTTACTGGTACTCATGATCCAAAGAATGAAGAATCTTATATTTATCATGTTGCATGGCTTTCTGATTGATTATTTTATTCTCTATTTTCTATCTTATCTTTTTTCTTTTATGCTCTTATTTTTTTTTGTGTGAAGTTTATATATTTAAAACTTAGATGCTTATTGCTGTCGTTAGCAGGCAGCTCGTGAAGAAGCATGGGCTAAAGTTTCAGTTCTTGAGCTTGAAATAAATGCTACAATGCGAGATCTTGATTTTGAGAGGCGGAGGTTAAAAGGTGCCAGGGAAAGACTCATGCTTCGGTAAGGCTTGATTTGTTGTAAATTATAATTATGGGATGGGGTGTCTCTAATTGGAAGATATATTTTCCATATCAACCTGATTACATTATTTTCCAATATAAGACTGCACAGACATAGAAACCTTTGATGTATACTAGGGTTTTGTTAACATTACTCTCATGTATAATAGCTTAATTTTTAACTGCTCTAAAAAGTTGAGACATAGAAACCTGTACAACAACGATATGATTTGTCTGATGCTTTAAGAATTCTTACTTAGATGAGATCTTTATAGTATTTGCTGCTAATAAACCTTTGTTGTATTTATAACATCTTGCCTTCTGTACTAATAATTGAGTGCAATGTTGTATGGTGCTTTTTTTATGGGGTGTGTTCAAAACTAACTAATTTGAGGGCTATGACCAAGCCACAAAAAATCTGTGTAAACTAATTGTTGTTTTGATTAGGGTATACACTACTCTACAACACATTATTTAAATTGAAAATTGGGATCCTGATGTCCTTAAATAGGTTATGTCATTTGTGTTGATTTGATTCCATTTGTCTGTTTACAAGTTAATGTTGGATAGTGTGCTGCTGTGTTGTACTGTTTGTGTGTAAAAGGCTGTTTGGTAGTTTTTCTTTGTTTGTAACACATGCACCTTCCTCCATGTTCATGTTGATTGTAAATTCCTAGATTTTGCAGCTGAAGCTCAATGATTTATGCAGGGAAACACAGCTGCGTTCATTTTATTCCACTACCGAGGAGATACAATCATTGTTTGCTAAACAACAAGAACAATTGAAGGCCATGCAGAGAACTCTAGAAGATGATGAGAATTACGATAATAATTCTGTAGATATGGACGGAGTCGAATGTGGAGCATCAGGAAGGGAAAAAGAAGGCGCCATATACCGCAACAACAGTGCTGCCAAAGCAGGATCTACTACTTCTGCTCAGAAGCTTAACAGAGATCAAATTGAAACATCGAGCAACGAAGCAAGTGTCACTGAGAAGCATGACTGTGACATAAGAAGTGAAGGATGCCAAAATACACAAGAGGCATGCCAACACACACAAGAGGCAGAATTCACCAGTGCTGATCATGACCACAGTGTTAGAGGCGGCTTTGGTTCTCATATTGACGGTGGTGGCACAACAGCTATAATGGAAGAAGATTGTGTAGGCACTGAACGAGTTCTGGAACATGAAAGTCCATCAAATAATGACGAACGGAATATTGATTTGAACATTGCTCATTTAGAAGGCGACACTATGAAGATTGACGATGATATGGAAACAGAGAAGCATGATCAAATACCTTGTCGTGAAGTTTCACAACACTCGCAATCAAATAATCTTGTAGATACTCAAAAGACTATTGAGGGTACAGAAGCTGGATGCCTCCTAATCAGAACCGAAGACCTTATAACTTCTGAAGTCCCTGGTAGCTGGGCTTGCACTCCCGCACCTTCTGCACATGGGGAAAATGATTCTTCAAGAAGCAGAGACAATAATGAAGGTTCAGGAGCATTGCTTGATTCAAATATCGTGGTGGCTGAGAGTCCAAACAGTCCCTCTGATGCTGCTGATGCCAGGAAGAACGAACGCCGAGCACTAAGTGAGATGATTGGCATTGTTGCTCCTGATTTGAAAGAGCAATTTGAAGTTGCTGCTTATGACTGTGGTCGAGAGGGAGAAGGCCACGGTGGTTCATCTGATTCGGATACTGAGAGCTGTAGTGACACTGGTGATGATGTTATAGTCAACGCAAAGCGTGAATCAATATCTGATGAAGAAACTCAGGCTGCTGAGCCTGTCGAGGAGGAGGATCAAAAGCAGGATGATTCTATGGATGAGGATGATGAAGCCACTCAAGAAGATTGATTTTCTTGGTATGTAAGTTGTAGATACTAATCCTCCTGTATTTTTACCGATAAATCTCTTGCTTATCTCACCCTTGTAATTGTATTTTAAGTTGAGTTATTGTAATTAGTTTTATTATTCATACGGGTTTCCCCGCCATTTTTCATCAATTCATCAAATGCAAATAATGAGTGAATTACTTGAGGTTGAATTTGAACACTGAGAATTCAACAGTGTCTACAGGGAGAAATGTGTCTGATCATATTTTGTTCAATTTTTTGAGGGCATTGATCATCATTACAGTTGTGTAGTGATTCTTAGATTATAGTAAAAGAAAGACATTTTTGCCTGTCGATTTTATTTTAAAAATATACAGTTAATGATGATATTTGTAAATATAGTGTTAAAAATATTTGTATATAGAATAGTTCCACGTCGACTATATAAGTAATTAGTTATAATCTATCTATATATAATAATGTCTCCGTAGTGTTTTTTAAAACACACGGTTTAATCTAAATGTTTTTTAGTCTCGTTTATTTCAACATGGTATCTAGCGCATGCTAAGAGACAATTCTTTCTTCGTCGTGCTTTATTCGGCTGATCCATTGTCTTCTGGAGAGAATTTTTGTTTTGTTGCAAATTGTCACTTTGGTTTGCTTCTCACTTTTCAAATTTTTTTCGATAACCACCCTGTTGCTGTCAATGTTCCGACAACTTCTGATGACGTTTTGGAAAACCGACCTCACTATCCAATTAGCCGTCCTCTGATCCGGCCGTCGCCCTTTTCTTTGCTGCTGCCCCGCGCGTTCGGCTGCCGATTCTGATTGGTTTTTTGCCGGTTTACTCGCCTCTCCCCACCCGTTCCAGATCCGTCCTCTGTTGTACTTTCTGACCCACGGAAAACGGTGGTCTAGTGTAAACAGTCCCGATTTCACTTTGTTTTTTTTTTTTTTATGTCATTAAGTCATTGGAGATGTTGATTCTGTCTCGTTTACTAAAGTTCCACTTATTCCATCTGAAAATTTAATTGGATCAGCAAACTATAACACATGGGCTCGTGCTGTCAATATGTGGTTTCATGGTCAAGGATATGAAGATCACCTAATCACACAATTGACTAATGTTGCCGCCGCCAAACTCGCTAAATGGAAGAAAATTGATGCCTCTCTGCTTACTGTGTTATGGTTCTCCATAGCACCTAATCTCCAAGCGCAATATCAAACCTTCTCTACTTGCTACGATTGTATATACAGTGTCATCCTCAAATTCGACACACTGAAGTTGGAGAATATGGATAGACAAACCTATTTGAGTAAGCTTGATATCTTGAAAGCAAGTCACGTAACCTTCATGCCTTACACAAAAGATGCAATAACTCATGCCGAACAACAGAGTATTTTTTTCATGGTCATGACACTTAAAAGGCTACCATTCGAACTCGACTCCGTTCGTAACCAGATTTTATCAGGTACTACTGTTCCTAACTACGATGCAGTTAGTGAAAAACTGTTGCGCTTGGCTACACCTCATGAGTTTGGTCTAGTTTTTCCTCCATCTACTGTTGCTCCGATACCAGGTGACACTGCTGCCATTGCATCTCTCGGAAACAATCAGAATTGCCCTCGAGGAAGGTCATCCAACTCCAAACCTCGTCTCAAGTGTGACCATTCTAACCGGCTTGGACATACTATCGACAATTGTTGGAAGCTACATGGCAAACCCCATGCCAGGTAAATGCATCTCAAAGTGGTAACCCAGACACTACGCATACTTCACCTTTTATTCAGAACCCTACGTCAAGCTATGAGGATTTTCTCAGGTGGTGTCAGACTAATCAGATCTCTGGTTCCACGACTTCGGTTGCACACATTGATAATTCATCTGTTTGCTTCTCTCAATCATCTTTTCTTGGTCCTTAGATCCTCGATTCTGGTGCGTCTGATCATGTTATTGGTAATAAAGGTCTTTTTTCTTCCCTCTCTACCTCTGATTTCTTACCCATTATAACTGCCACAAATGGTTCTCAAACCCGATCCCAAGGGATTGGTACTGTTCAAATTTTACCATCTCTCTTTGTTACTTATGTTCTATATGTGCCTAATTGCCCATTTAATTTACTGTCAGTCATTCGTTTAACTCGTTCTCTTAATTGTTCTATCACCTTTACTAATAGTAATGTTACTCTGCAGGATCGGAGTTTAGGACAAACGATTGGCGTCGGATGTGAGTCTCAAGGCCTCTACTACTTTCTATGTTATCTACCACATGCTCCACCACAAATTCTCCACTCATTATAAATGCGCAGTTAGGTCATCCAGGTCTTCCCAAGCTACAAAAGTTGGTGCCCAGTTTATCTAAATCATCCACTTTACATTGTGAGTCTTGTAAATTAGTGAAACATACTCGTAGTCACTTTCCCAATCGAGTCAATAAATGGGCCGCGTCTCCTTTTGCTTTAATTCACTCTGATGTTTGGGGTCCCTCGCGTACCGTGTCCACTTTTGAGTCTAGGTATTTTGTAACTTTTATTGATGATTTTTCACGTTGCACATGACTATTTTTAATAAAGAACAAGTTTGGATTGTTTTCCATTTTTGAACAATTTTGTCGAGAAATAAGAACCCAATTTGGTTTGTCTATTCGTACCTTAAGAAATGAAAATGCACATGAATATTTATCCTAACAATTTCAAACCTTTATGTCATCTAATGGTATTTTGCACCAAACATCTTGCCCTCATACACCCCAACAAAACGAGGTAGCCGAACACAAAAATTGGTATCTCGTAGAAACCATTCAGACCCTACTTCTCCATGGTAACGTTCCTCTCCGGTTTTAGGGAGATGCGTTTCTCACGGCATGTTACCTCATAAATTGCATGCCCTCATCTGTCCTTAATAATAAAATCCCTCATCCAATCTTGTTTCCAAACTCTCCACTCCACACAATTCCTCCTCGAGTCTTCGGGTCTACATATTTTGTACACAATATCTCTCATAATCTTGATAAACTATCAACTCGATCATTAACGCATTCCTTTCTTGGCCATTTTCGATCCCAAAAGAGTTATCGTTGCTACTCAGATACTCTACAACAATTCCTCGTATCCGCCGATGTTACCTTCTTCGAGTCATATTTCGGGTCCAGCCAAGTAATTACAGAACCTCTACAGGAAAATATTCCCACACATCTTCCGGAAGTCCCATATGACATTATCCCCCATCATTCTAGGAAACCTAACCCACTAGATACCCCTACGATTGACCCCCACACTTCTCGCCCACTTCAAACATATTAACGTTGTCACCCAACGTCTTTCGTACCTGTCCCTAAAGTCGTACCTGCTCCTGAGGTCAATACAAACTCTCCTCCGACGCTCTTGTCATCACCAAATCCGATCCTGCAACCTGAGTCTGATCTTCCGATTGCCCTTCGAAAATGTATACGTCAAACACGAAATCCTTCTCCACATTATATTGATTTATGTTATCATCGTATTTTCCCTTTCCAGTATACTTGTTTGTCTTCTTTGTCTTCTGTTTCTATTCCTACAACTCCAAGTGAAACATTATCTCACCCTGAGTGGAGGTAAGCAATGATTGATGAAATGTGTGCTCTTCAAAGAAGTGGTACCTGAGAACTGATTCCTCTACCCCATGGAAAATCTTTAGTAGGTTGTCGTTGACTTTGTACAGTGAAGGTTGGTCCAGATGGTAAGATTGACCGATTTAAAGCTCGCTTGGTAGTGTAATACCCTAAATTTGCCCATACTTTTTTTTAATCAAAGGCATTGGCACAAATCATCAAAGGGTTGTCAAAAAATTTTGAGATTGTTTTTATTGGTGTGAGCATGAGGTAGAAGCTTGTTTGGTACCTCAGAGGCCATGGTGGAGTTGGAATGATCACCCAATTCATCTGCACAGTGCCTAAGCAAAAGGGTGAAATTAGGGTTTTAATTTTAATCAGGATAAATTTGTTTTTAAGGGAAAAACTTGTTTCCATGGTATTCCATGTGTCCTAAGGTGTGTGAGGATGGGAGATTGACCATCAATTTTAATCAGAAAAGCTTTAATTGATCAGTCAATTGAAAATCAAGAGATTTGGGGAAAAAGTCAACTGTAGTTTGAATTTTGATTTAAATGGTGCTCCAATGGTGGGATCATGGTCCATGAAGTTCATATGGCTTAGTGAAGTATACTCAAGAAGTTTCAAGGCCTCAGAAGACCTGGAACATCAATAGTCGATTCGGTAGTCATCGATCGATCGTTTCGTTGACCAAAAAGTCAACTCTTCAACCATAAGGAATTTGACCTCAAAGTATGAAGCAAAAATGTTCCTAATTCCATATTACATCTACCCATGAAGTTTCATGACCATTGGATCAAGGATGGAGGAGTAATCGAAAAATCGGGAAATTAGGGTTTTGAAATGGGCAAGACCATAACTCCCTAACCACACATCCAATTGAGTTGGTTCAAAGCTCATTGGAAAGCTCTTGACAAGTCCTACAAAAGTTCCACAGTGGTCCATGAGCATAAAATGCATAGATTTGGAGTTATGGCCAAAGTCATTACAAGACGGGAAAATAACTTAGAAACTTTTCTAAGTTATTGGACTTTTTAGGAATGTTTTTCAGCAACTTTGAGTGGATTTTTGACCTAGTTCTATTTGGAATCTGAAGGTCATTAAAACATGAAAGTTGTAGAGCTTCATGAGGGCTTTCCAAAATGTACTAGAACTCCTCTATAGCCCTTATGAGTTGAGAGTTATGAATTCAACAAGATGAGGTTTCAACACTTGAGTTCACCACTTCCATTTTTCACAAACTCACCTTTTGTTCACTTGAACCATTCTCAGCTCTTGGATCATGTTTCTATCTGATATTTAGAGAGTATGATGAATGAAAATGCAGAAAACTAAGGGGTTTGATGGATTTGGCAAGTGATAGGCAAATGGCATTATTTTAATGAAAGAAATGAGGAAAGAGAAACTTTATGGAAGAAAGTCTTGCAGCTGCA